TGCTTTGAATTTTTCTAGAGCCTCATTCATCTGTTTTGTTACTTCCTGTGCTATCAGTTCAGGGTGACCAGGTGGTTGGTTATTGGACTTTTCCACCTCATTTTCCCCAGGGACCCTTGGTGGCACAGAAGTCTGAGTTTGTGCCTTGCTTAAGTGTCTTCTCATTTTTGTTTTTCTTACTGCCCTTGGTTTAACTCCTGGGTTGATAGTTTGGAATTGCTTATTGTAAGTATCTTTGTTGCTTTTAATTAGAACCCTTATGGAATGATTACTTCTCAGAGTTGACTTCCAGATATAACTGGTCTTTAAGTTTTGAGTCTCTAATGACTCTGTGGCTATCTCATTATCCTTATACTAGGAAGGATCACTGACTATATCAATAACAACACCTTAGCCCAAGTGATAACCATCAGCAATTGGACTGCATCAAGTACATCTTAGAAAATGACATTTTGTGGTAGGTATTAATCTATCACCTTTATCTGCACGAATTAAATCAAGTTTGAGGACCAACCCAACATATGATTATAGTGAGTAAATTCTTCAATATAACACTTTACCCTTCCGGATGGGGAGTTAGAAGGAGTTGGCAAGGGAGGAACAGATAGGTAGAAGGATAAGGGAAGGTTTGCAGTGAGGCCAGAGGACACACGTGAGAAGGAAAAAGAGAATAATAGAAAAATAAAGAACTCCAAATGAGGGCCAGATCAGGGACAAAAAGTGAGATGAACAATAAGGGACATCAAGAGAGTGAGCGTAAGAGAGAAAGGAAAGAGAAAAGAAAGAAGAAAAAAAGGAGAGAAAAACAACAATTTGCAAAGAGTAGGAGAAAAGAAAAAAATAAAGATAAGAGGAAAAAAACAGAAAAGAAAAGAGGAAAAAGAAACAAACCAATAATACTAATTTTGGAAATAAAAAATAAAAATAAAAATGAAGGGCCTCTTTCAGGATATGTCTCTGTTGTCACAATAGACAACGTGGGTAGCAGTGTGCAGATATAAGTCAATGAGTCTCAGTAAGCCAGTCGCAGACCCATGAGATTCGGGCAGATTTCTGGCTGCAAGTCCCAAGTTGAGCTCCATGCCCTCCTGTAGGGTTGAACTCTGCAGGGTTGTACTGCAGGTTCCCCTTCCCCTGAAGATAATCCCGATTCTGATGGGAGGTGATGATCGCTCCAACTTACCCAGTACAGTGGTCTGGTGGTTTGGTGTCCTCTGTGTCTTTGTAGTGTAGAACCAGATGTCAGTACAGCCAAGAGGCCAGAGGAGTGGGGCGGGGGGATCCAGTGGATTGCTGCCGGGTAGTGGGATGGATCGGCAAGTTCGCTTGCAAGTTTTTTTAGTTGACTAATAAAAATTATATGTGCTTATAGTTTGTAAAATTATATTTTGAAATACATATATACATTTTAAATTAGCTAATTAACATATGCTTTACCCACATATCTTTCTTGTGGTGGGAACCTTTAAAATGCATGTTTTTCATGATTTTCAATATGCAATACATTCCTATTAACTACTGTCACCATGTTGTACAATTGATGCCTAGAATTTATTCCTTCTAACTGATATTTTATATTTTATATCCTTTGACCAATATTTCCCAAATCTTTCCTGCCCTATGTATCTGGTAACCAGTATTTTATTCTCTGCTTCTCTCAGTTTACCTTTTTTGTGTTCTACATATAAGTGAGATAATGTGGTATTTGTCTTTCTGTGCTTGGCTGATTTAATTTTACATAACATCCTTAAAGTTCATCCACGTTGTCACAAATAACAGGATTTCCTCATCTTTAAAGGCTGGATAGCATTCTATTATGCATGTATTTCAAATACTAGTGTTGTTATTAAAGCTTAATTTCTAGGTAAATGTTCTTGTGAGTCCTTAAAATATTAATGATAAAATTAGCATATAAAACAGAAGGATTCACCATTTGTTATATCTGCTATTTGGAATATTATGTGGTATTTAATAGATAGTTAACTTAAAAGTCTATGCATGTATGTATGTATCACTCATATGTTCTGATATTTCAGTTTTAAATAATAAAGGTATATCTCAAAATGATCTAGGAGAAAGTTAGATGAACATCTGATCCTTAAGAATGTGTAATTAATCAAAGTTAAAAAGAGTATGTTGTTTGGGACCTATCTTTGAGGAGAAATACCATAATAAATAGCCAGTGTGACCAGCTTTTAAGACATTCTGACACAAAATGGCTGGCTCTGCTACAAACCATTTTTAGTATCATAAGTAAGAGTATGTCACTTATTCTTTTTCTACCCAATTTCACTGTGCGCAAAATGAAGGAAATGTATAACGACAGTGGTTGGCAAGCTATAGCTGTGGATAAAATCTAACCGGTCACATATTTTTTATACAGCCCACTACCTGGAAATGATTTTTATATTTTTAAATGGTTAAAAAATCAATATAAGAATATTGTGTAAGATAAGACAGTAAAGTTAAAATTTTAATGTTTATAAATAAAAATTTTTGAAACAGCACAATCACTTGTTGTCTATGGCTACCTTTACACTTTAACAGAAAAGTTGAGTAAACATATGGCTGCAAAACTTTTTTATTGTCTAGCTTTTTCTAGAAAAAAGTTTGGCAAGCAAT